TTTTCTGTGAGGGGTAGGGTTAGGGGTAGGGGTGGGTTTAGGTTAAAAAGTGTATAACTATCTGTATATAAAAACAATAGAAGTCTATGTAATGTCCCCATTTAGACAGGTAAGTAAACCTGTGTGTGTGTGTGTTTGTTATTTTGTTTTTTGTTGTTGTTTTGTTTTGATTGTTTGTTTGCTTGCTTCCTGAATGACATGTAATTGAAGGACATGTAACTTTACTGTAAAACTTTTAGGTGCCTTTAAATAGAAATAGAAAAAAAAAAGAAAAAAAAAAAAAAATATATATATATATATATATATACTTATAATACTTTTTTCTATTTTTTTTTTCTTTATCATAAACTGTCTGGATTTTTTATTTTTATTTATTTATTTTTTTTTACAGTGAAAATAAATGCAATATATGAGGGTTACTAGAAGAATCCCAGCTAAGTGCTAAGCCAAAGTGGAAAGAAGAGCAGAACTGAAGTCAAGAAGCCAAGAGCATCTTTTCAAGCAAACAGCAGCTGCGATCTCTGGGAAGAAAAAAAAGAAAGAAAGGGTGGAAAGAAAGAAGCAGTGCAGTCTGCCCCAAAGAATGATCTCCTTGTGTAATCTTGAGCTTATTCCAGCACTGAAGCAAGGCTTTAGCAAAGTGTGAAGAACTTTTGTGATGAAAGGGCACAGTACTCATTTCAGCTTTGACCTGTTCAATAATTGAACTTTGAGGGTGGTGGGGGGAGAAGGGGTATCGACACACTTGTGGTCCCACTGTTGTGATATCCTGCTCTGTTTTAGGGTTCTTTCTGCAATACTCACTAAGATATTACTGCTTGTGTTTTACACATCCAAAGGCAATATAATGACTTGGGCACAGTGAACTGTCAAAATAGTGTAATCACATTAGTCTGCTGAGGATTTGTCTTTGTCGCTCTCCTTATTAAACTATAAAAAGACAGATTATATTATTAAATTAGTAATATATTATTATTATATAATGCGTAATAATAATAACAATACAAGCATTATTATTATTATTATTAATCTCATGGCAAAATATGCAGCCTCTCTGTTTGTTCAGATTAAATGGATAAGTGATGCTAGTTACCAATTTTAGCTGAAAAACTGGAGCGCTATCATCTCAGCATGTTCTGAGGAATCTAACCAGACTTGACACAAATGTCCCTTTATCAGAATCAGTGGCAATGCCAGGAGGCAAATACACACAAACAGAATTACCATTCCATCCTAAAAAAATTTTTTTTTTACTCTGGATAGACCAAAAGGTCTGTTATCAACATACATTTTTAGATATAAGCATAATACAACACATAATGGTCTTTGCAATCCAATATTATTAAATCTGAGCAAGCTGCTCTTTCCTTTGCTAAAATTAAATAATTCCTAAACTGCACAAGGAATTGGCAACCAAGACATTTTTAGGACACTTTTTATAATGCTAGTTGTTCAGTCGAGCACACTGAAAAGCAATCTCAAACGGCATATGCTGTGGTTTCTGATAGCGCCAGAAAGGTACTGTAAAAATCATGTTCATAGTGAAGGGAAGATACCACATTATACCATCATATCACTGGAGACACCAGTGTTGAGGGACATGAAAAAACACAATTTTCTCTACAACAGAATACCATGAAGAAAGCATTCAAAAGATAACAGCCTCTTTGTGACATGAGAATTCTATGATATGCATTGGCAGCTTCTGTGTTATGCATTTGTTTCCCTTCGAAGCAGCATTGGCCTTTGTGATAGCCATGGCAACCTCATGCAAGTCAGTTGTCAGATTTAGAAAAGAAAATCCACATACAATATCTCCACATTTTCTGTAAGGCTTAACAGCAGGCTGTAGCATATTGTTCTTATGCTTAATAAAATGTCCCTGCATTTTTAAAATGGTGTGAAGCAGGGTTTAGACATACAGTAAGCTTCTTTTCTAAGAACAAATCATACTCTACTCTGATATAACAGCACACCCTGTCCACATTTATGCAGATTTCCTATAAAATGCCAAATACAAGCTTCTCATAGGTTATTGAGGCACGTACATGCTCTCCCACATCCTCAAATGTCTGTAAAATGTTTACAAGAGAAGAAACTGGAAGTGGGTTTTTGCAAAGCAATTAGAATAGGAATTAGATTTAATAAACGTGTGCATGCCATTTCTCAATTACTACTGCAAAATGTTTCCTACTGAGTTAAACAGCTCACAAAATTATCTTTAGACAGTATGACTGCACTTTATGAGGACAGTTCTGAGAAATAGCACTTGATAAAAGATTATGCTCAAATACTGCTGGAAAATTAAATATCCCCTATTTGGTTAGATTTAGGAATCTCTAAATAATTCCCAAATATGAAAATCATTAGTATATAAAGAGATTTTTTATACTCAGTAGCATTTATGCTTAGACTAACAACCTTTAAACTATACAGGTATGTTCTGTGAAAGGTCTTATTTTTAGTACATTTCTGCTAAAAGATATTCTACTACAGACACATACTCTGTAAGGCAGGTAATGTATTTATTGGTAGGTGTCCTTTCAGCAATTTGTAAGCAGTAATACAGGCCAGATGTTTGATAAAATGAGAGACTAACCCATCCCCTCATGTACAAGGTGTTACCCCTTCACCAATTAGCTGGAGAAAAACACAAAGCTCTGCATAAGATTTTGCTGAGACAGCACACACACAAGAAACTAGAGAAGTGTTGCAAAATTCAGGAGGCGAAGATCTGAAATTGCTGTTCCAGAATTGACAAGTTGTAAGTTGTTTGTTAAGTGAAAACGGTGTTATTTATTATAACAGAGATATTAGTTTTTTTAAGTTTATGTATTTTTTTTCTTTTTTGGTATATGTCTATGTGGTTTTTATTAATTTAATTTTAGTTCAGTTAAGTACAACAAATTAAACTATTTACTATATAAAATGCAATCTGTCATTGTTCTTGTGAGTGTCATTACTTGTGGCTGTTTGACTGTGACTTCAAATTCACAATATGGGTTTGTCAAAAATACTCACCTTCAGATTATTTTTGTTCTTCATATCAGAGCATTAACACACAAACACTTATACTACAATTTTTAATTTATAGTCTGGAGTTTTGCAACAACTTTACTTCCATGTGAAAATAATGTATGTATGAATGAATGAATGAGCGAGCAAGCAAGCTTGAAGAACTGACAGAAAAAAATTGAGGCAGTTAAAAATTTTATTTATGTTAATATCTGGGTGTTATATTAGATAGCAACTTGTCTTTTGAAAATCATATTTCCCATGTTACAAAAACAGCATTCTTCCATCTTAGAAAGATTGCCAAGTTACGAAATATGTTACCTGTTTCTGATGCAGAAAAGCTAGTTCATGCATTCATGACCTCTAGACTGGACTATTGTAATGCACTGC